CGGACGACTGCAAATTCTTCAGGTGGGCCGACAGTGGAACTATTTCTACGTGCTCCCAATTGGACACAACTGCTAGGAGTTCAATAGTGCCACAACAGGAGAACGCCACATGTGGTTCGAGTTCTTCCGTTTCTAGAATATCGCAGTCAGACAGGTTTGTTCAGGGTTTAGGAGTGTCAGATGCAGGTGGCATGGGTCGTGATATGCTGCTACATTATAAAGTCAACATTATCATATTTCTACTTATCATTTTAACATGTTATTTTTTCTTCTTTATGGGCTCTTATTATACTTTTTAGTAGTATGTACATATGCGTTTGACTTTTGTATATGTAACATATTCGTTTGATGTGATCGGATATATTTTAGTTATATGAATATAAATCAACTTTTTGGTATTTTCTTGTCTGAACAGTTATCTTTAATTTTGTTTAGAAAAGAACAGATTCTGCTGCACATATTATATAATGAAAAAAAATTCCAAATAAGCTGTTTACAAAACGCACTAACCAAACAGCTAAACAATTTATTCAGAACAGGGGCAAAATGGTCAATTTTTCACAATCAGCTGTTTTCCATAAGCGCCAACCAAACAACCAGACAGTTTATCCGGATCAGCTGCTCATCAGCAGATTATCAGGATAAGCTGCTTATCAGCAGAAGCTGGATAAGTTGCAGCTGCCCCAAACAGACCCGTAATTAACTATAGATTAAGTAACCTCAGTCATTTAAGATGTAATTAACTAAAGGGGTTTGCTGCTATAGGGAACTTGGAACCCAAGTAAAATAAACCCTATATAATCTTTATATTATGGGAACTTGTTGGCCTCATATAAAATATTTCGCAGACCAAACGAATGTCACAAATTTTTTTAATTTAGGTGATTGAGCCTACTACAAATGATATGTTTATTCTTTGGGATAAGCGTATTATTTGTGGTATCGTGCTTAGTCACCCAAATTATTCAAAATGTGAGACTTATTTAGTCTCACCTATTTTTAAATCAAAATGTTACTTTCAAAAATCATATTCATATCAAAACTATTTTCATATTTTTTTTTATATTTTTCAATACCGAAAATTAAAATGGCCGACACACCCACCCCTGGTAAAATTGCAAGTTTTGTCGGTGGTTGTTGGTAGGTTACTACCTTTGTTCTTGAAGGCTCAAAGCTCTTGCCAAATTTCAAGTACAAATTGTCAGAACTAGCTACTGAAACCCTCCAATTGTGCTCAAGAATAAACATTTCTCGACAACAATCGTCTTTGTGCTCCGGGCTCCTACATCCACTATGTCTAAAACCAATATGGGGAAAACTAATATCGCGAGGAAGAAGATGAGATGAATGGAAAAAGGTAAAATTGGAGCCTTGAGCCATCAACATGACTACTTTCGGTAAGAACAAAATGGAAAATACAAACAACCCACTACTCACTAGCAGACAAAAGACAAAATTAAACAATTAGATAATAACAATAGTAATCAGTAAGTAAAACGGCAAATCGCTAAAAAAGAATGGCCAAGCACGGATAAGAAGTGGTATCCAAATGCACCTGTTCTACTAAGATGCTAAAACGTGCATCCAAGCAAATTAAGGGCATAATTTATCTCTTAACAATTATCAACACCACCACAAGCCTACCCTCAGGAAAGTTAAGTTTGCAAACTCATAGTTACGTTACAATCCTTTCCCATAAGCTAAAAGTTCCAAGCAAAACCAAGAAAAAAAATGTTCTTAAGTGATGATTAATTACCTGTTTGCCACGCTGAATGAAACAAATGATTGGAACTGGAATTTCAACCTTCCGTCAGGGTCCAGTGACTTGGCTCCATGCCTTGCATCCAAACCTCTACCACGGCGAAGAATAATCAATAAAGAAGGACTACCCATTGATGTCAAAGATGGGGGAACAATTTGGATGTCATCAATATCTTCCCAGAGAAAGAAAAACTTGATCTTGTGCCCGAAAAGATTGGTGTAAAATCCAATTATTCTTGGAGAAAGAAACAGACGACCCTGAAAAAAAATAAAAATAAAAAGACAAATTACCATTGGAGTAGCTTAGCCATGCTTTGAGATTTCAAGGAATTCAATATTTTACATGGGCCTTTCATCTTCCAGATCGTAAAGCTAACTATCCAGGAACAAGGAAATTATGAAATATAAAAAATGAACCTGTATTGGCATTTTGCGCTTCAAGTGACAAGTAAAATCATTGATTAGAAACTCTTCCGGCGGTAGACTAAATAGCTTCTGAAATGCTGAATTTGTCTGAGGTGACCGCAAATTTATCTATGCAATGAAAATTGTAAAGAGCTGCCTGAGTTAATATTTTAAACATCCAAAAAAAGAATCTCAAATTTACAACAGTACCAACCTTTTTACCAACTTCTTTCTCCATCTTTGTTAGATAGTCTGAAACAACTTGGACACCTCGAGTGTTGTGAAGGAAGATTCTCAGATGCAACTTAGATTGGCATGCCTGAGCTAATTTTCCCTCTAGAGGAATCCATACATCTGCCAATTCTGATAAGTTAGATTTCAGAAAGTTGACTTCAGTATGGCCCAGTGAAACTGCTTCATCAAAAGGTCCGTCAAAATCATACACATTAATGTCCATTGTTGATGGAGGATCAATCATCGCATCAAATTCAAAAATTTCTGCAAATGGAAAAAGAGATCAGTTTGTGAAAGTGTTAATAGATATTTTAGCAGATGGATACATAACAACCGAAATGATACAATCGAGTGATGAAACAGTTCAAATCATTTGCAGCGTTATACTTTTCATTATGCCTTACGAAGAGGTAACAAAGTACAATGACTAGCTTAAAATTTTTATTTTTCCTTTCACCAAATAAAACCTAACCCCTTATGAAGAGGAAACTAAGTAAAATGACTCGCATAAAATTTTTATTTCTCCTTCTACCATACAAACCCCTTTATTTTGATGCAGGCTAAAGGGGAGGGAATAACAAGGCTCAACCCAAAATAACAATGCCTATGGGTGCAAGAATTGATATTTCTTTATAGCAGCTCTTTGCTGCTTTTCAAGCTTCCAATGCAATTTTTTTTAATTTGTTTATAAAAACACGCACGTATTTCTGAATCTCATGAGTCTGGACATAACAGTTCAAATAATTTGCAGCATTATATTTTTTATTATGCCTTATGAAAAAGAAACTAAATATAATGACTTGCTTAAAATTTTTATTTCTCCTTTTACCATACAGACCCTTTATTTTGATGCATGCTGAAGGGGAGGGAATAAAAAAGGCTCAACCAAAAATAACAATGCCTATGGGTGCAAAAATTGATATTTCTTTATGGCAGCTCCTTGCTTCTTTTCAAGGTTCCAAGCCCAACAGTTTCAATCTGCAGATATTGCGCTCATCATTTTATATGGCAAAACTTAAACAAGCAACTTATTAATAGTTATAATATGCCAGTCAAGTTTCGCTATTTCGCCATGCCTGTTAAACCCAATTAATTCAAGGTACTTTTCTATTTCAGGGAGCTTACTGTGTCTTAAAAACAATGACATCAGAAGTAAATTGCAGATGTGAGATAGGATGTGCAAAGAACTAAGATTCTTAGCACCAATAAATTATGTAATGTATAACACAAGATATATCAAATTTAGGAATGTCATCCCAAAGAATATTAAATAAAACAAGCAACTGTTGATGTAAACAGAGAGAGAGAGAGAGAGAGAGAGAGAGAGATCGATCAATTTAACACTCAATTAAACCAAGGAAAATAAATTAAGCTGGAACCTACCAAAAAACCACAAGCAGTTTAAAAATCATAACACAATTAAGAAGTAAAAAACAAGCAGAAAAAATTGAAGACGAAAGAAGTTATTAGAGACATTGAGAAGTTATAAAAAGCTTTTGGGTGGACATTAACTGATATTAAAGGAATCGGTCATTCAATCTGTATGCACGGAATTTTAATGAAATAAAACCATAAATCTAGGGCAAATCCTCAAAGAAGATTAAATCATATTATAAAAAAAGTGGTAAAAAAAGCAATTTCAAAGTGATTAGATGCGGGAATTATTTATCTAATTTAAGATAGTTCTTGAGTTAGTACTATTCGTTGGAGTAACATTATTCATTAATAAAAGGAATGAATTAATTCCAATAAGACAAGTTACTGGATGGAAACTTTGTATTGATTATAGAAAATTAAACTTCGTCTCTAGAAAAGATCATTTTTATTTACCTTTCCTAGACCAAATATTGGATAGACTAGCTGGGCACCTCTATTTCTGTTTTTTGGATGGATCTTCTAGGTACCACCAAATACCTATTGTAGTAGGAAGTTGTAATTCAACTATAACTTGAATTTTTTTTGTATCAACTTCCATGTCATTTTCAAAAATTTTATGTCCTAGTATAATTCCCTTTGCAACCATAAACAGACATTTTTCTCAATTGAGAACAAAATTTGTTTATTCACAGCATTTTAGAACCTTTGCTAAATGATCTAAACATGAATCAAAAGAGTTTCCAAAAACTAAGAAGTCATCCATAAAAACTTTTACTCCTTTATCAATTAAGTTGCCAAAAAATAATCATCATACAACTTTGAAAAGTTGCAAGTGCGTTGCATAAACTGAAAGACATTCTTTTAAAAGCAAAATTCCCATAAGGACTGGTGAATGTCATCTTTTCTTGATCCTTGGGAGCATTAGGTATTTGGTGGTACCTAGAAGATCCATCCAAAAAGCAGAAATAGAGGTGTCCAACTAGTCTATCCAACATTTGGTCTAGGAAAGGTAAAAAAAAGTTATCTTTTCTAGATGCAAAGTTTAATTTTCTATAATCAATACAAAATTTTCATCTAGTAACTTGTCTTATTGAAATTAATTGATTCTTTTCATTAATGACAAATGTTACTCCTCATTTCTTAGAAACACAACGAATAGGACTAACTCAATAACTATCTTAAATTGGATAAATAATTCTCGCATCTAGCCACTTTAAAATTTCTTTCTTTAACACTTCTTTTATAATTTGATTTAATCTTCTTTGAGGATCTGCTCTAGGTTTATGGTTTTCTTCCATTAAAATTTTGTGCATACAGATTGAAGGAATGATTCCTTTAATATAAGTTAATGTCCACCCAAAGGCTTTTTATATGAATAAAACCAAGCAGACTGACAAAACAAATATAGATTATGCATAAAAAATTGAAGAAAAGATAAACTATCACCAAACACAGAAAATTCAAAAGAATAGCCATCCAGCCAAGCACACAGGTTTGAGAGAAAATTAAAATATTATTAAATAAAAAGTTTGATTTCATACTTTGTGTTTACCTGGTTATAAATACCACGTCCTTAAGGCTAGTAGCTATTATTTCAATTCAAATTTGCTAAAATTCACACTGATAATGTGGTATGTGATCAGATCGAGTTTCAATCATTTTCTAAAACAAAAGCACAATAAAATCCACAAAAAAAGGTGTCAGAAGCCAAAACTAATGATTAGATTGCAACAAAAACTACAATCACAAGTTGCAATAGGAATGTCACGGGTAGGAAACGCAAGTCATTACAAAATCCGCACAACAAGAGTTTGTAAATTGCCACATAGAGCTCTGAAAGTGTAGGAGCCGAGCACATGTCACCCTCAATTTGAGCTTAACTTTGATTACTTAATTGTGTTCAAATTCGTGCTTGAACAAAATTTTACGAGTTCAAATTATCTCATAAACTAGTTCATCTAATTGGGTTCTTGAACTTAATTCTACGAGTTTGACTTATCTCATAAAATGGCTAATTTAATATGACAGAAAATAATTTTGATTCAAGTATTTGTTATAATAAAAATATAAAAAATAATAATAATAAATCAAATAAGAAAATGAAATATAATTTTTAAATTTTAATAACCTAGTACTTAAACTAATAAATTCTAATATATTTTTAAATATCTTTTCTATTAATATTTTTTAAATAAGTCGGCTCATGATCTAATGAGCCAAGTTGAGGCTTGCTCATGTTCGGTTCGTTAGCTTATTAACTTTAACTCATGAGCCACTCATCAAGAGGGGACTGAACCAACTCACGAGTCTACTTGACTTGGGCAAACCACCATAGATCTAGAATCTAATTTGAGAGTTTATGGGCATCGCCACCAAAACCAACAATTACAAAAGAACTACTAAACTAAATAATAAATCAATAAACCAATGGCTGACCTGGCCAACACCACAATCAAACCAAAGAACCCATAATTGAATCCAGCCAATACAACAACCAAACCAAGAAATCATAAATATTGAAATAGCATGTTCATTCTCTTGTGCCTCATCATACACATAAATATTGAAATAAGCATGTTCATTCTCTTGTGCCTCATCATACACATATTTTCATAAATATTGAAATAGCAAAGTCAAAAGAAAAACTATTGAAAATAAAGTTGTAAGAAAATATAACTAAAATCAATACAATATTTAATTTGCTAAATTTGTCCTCAAAGCACACATGAATTGTGCTCTCAATAAAAGTAACTCTTTAGATTGTTAACGTAAGGGATGTCAACAATTGCGGTAATCCAGTTGATATGAAGATTTGAACCATCCTGATTTACATTTTTAATGCTGACTCAAGCGCAGTAATCTAATAAAGTTTGGTAAATAGTAACTCTAATGGAAAGATTTCAGCAACAACAACAACAACAACAAATAAGCATTTATCCCACTAAGTGGGGTTGGCTACATGAATCTTTTTTCTCCATTGCATCCTCTTGAGTGTCATATTTTCATTTAATTCTAATTTATTAAGATCATTTTAGGTCTGCCTCTATCTTTCTTAACATAATTTCAATCCAAAACATCTACTCTCCTAACCAGACCATCAGATGATCGACGTTTAATGTGATCAAACCATCTAAGACGACTTTCTCTAATCTTGTCTGCCACTGGAGCTACAACAAACATTTCACGGATAGATTTGTTTCGCATTTTGTCTCTAAGTGTCAAGCCACTCATCCACCTAAGCATTTTCATCTCCGCAATGCTTAACTTTGTTTTATGCTTCTCTTTTAAAGACCAACATTCTGTGCCATAAAACAATGCATTTTTAACCACCATCTTATTAAATTTTCCTTTAACTCTAAGTGGCACTTTTCTATCACACAATAGGCCCGATGTTTCCATTTCAAACAATCCACATGAATTCTACTAATAAAATCCCCATCTATATACCATCACTTTGAACAATATACCCGAGATATTTAATACACCCACACTATTTAATGATTTGACGATCATAGTTACAACTCTGCCACTAAAACTACTACTACTAAAATTGCATTCCATGTATTCAGTTTTAGATCTAATCAAACAAAGGCCATCTTTAGAATCTAATGTAAACCTCCATAATTCAAGTTTTCCTTGAACTCTTTCTCTGACCTTATCCACAATAAAAATAATGGAAAGCTTTCAACATATACCATAAATTAACTTTGGGTGCATTCCCATCAAATATGATTTAGCATCCCTGCATGGTGTTATTTTACTAAATTTTTCAGAAAGTAATGGAGATGAGATAATTTATGTTTCTTTTAAAATCAATACATTGTCCAGATTGCCTCCACGATATCTGATTCACTCTTCAGATTACTTGTACCAATTTTAAGCATGCATGCATAAGTGGCATTAAAACCGGAACGCATCGACCCTTTGCAAGAATAGTGTGATAGCAAGTTCTAGTTCATTAACTAATCAACTATTTTATTTCTAAGTTAAGAGAAGTAACTGTGACTTCAAGGGTATGACTATAGCCAAAGAGTTCCAACAATAACTATATAAAAATACATTAGGAGAACAAATATTAAATAGATGTTTGAGATCACTTTTAATTTTCTTTTTTTTTTTAATTTTGTTTAGATGTTTGAGATCACTTTTAATTTTCTTTTTTTTTTAATTTTGTTTATGTTTCTACTTGAAATAAAACATGTTTATTATAACATGCTTGGTTATTTTTAACAATACTAAAAATAAATTTTAAATGTTTGGAGTGTTTCATAAAACAAACCAATTTATTTTTTAAAACAAAAAACAAGCAAAAAATGTACTAAACAAAATATATTTTTAAAATAAAAACTAAATAAAAATAAAAAAGAAAAAAAAATTGATCCTAAAACAAGATCTCGGGGGCCATTTGGGATCACTTTGATTTTTTTTTTTCACTTTATTTTATTTATGTTTTTTACTTGAAATAAAGCATGTTTAGCTGTTTTTAAAAACACTCGAAATACTTTTAGAGATTTACTTTTAAAAACAAGTTGATTTGTTTTCGAAAAAAAAACATGCAAAAAATGCACTAAAGAAACATGTTTAAAATAAAAGCAAAAACAATAATGATCCTAAACAACCCCTAAATAAATAGAGAGGTGATTGAATTACCATTCCAGTGAGGATCCAGTGTTTGGAACTTGATTGAGCTTGTTTTTGTCATGCCGTGACAGGTAAATACTACATAAGGATCAGAGTAACCAGAAGAATCAACTGCTGCTAAATTAGATCCCTCAATCAAGGCAACAGTAAGCAGCCATCCATCACCTTGCGCCTTGATTCCATGATCACTTCCTGTAAGCATAGATATTAAACTGCTCAGATTCTAAGATAACGGTGGTCAATATATTTTCCAAGATATTCAGGGGGTGTTTGGGAAAGTGAACCAAAATCGAAGGAATAATGTGCGTGACTATTGACCAGTTAAACGGTATAATAGTCATACTGCATATATCTTATGCTTTCAGGAGGATGTTTAAGGCATTTAACCGATCCACTCAAGAATACTTATAACATTTAGCAACAATACTAACACAGTTGTCAAGTTAATTGCTTATATGTTTTGTATCACCAAAAAAAGCAAAACTTCCTTTTTTTTTTTTTTGACATTGTATTGTTTTGTGGTAAAATAATGCCTCAGAATACCTAATGAAAAAACCATAGTAATTTTTTTTTTCTAATTGCATGATATAGTGGCCTGAAACATTCCAATGATTTCTTGCATCAACACTAGTTTCTCTTCATGTAAAACGTGTCAGTGCATTCGTAAAGGCAGTCCATGACGTTCCACTATTTAGCTTTGAAATTACTTTAAAAGATTATAATTTACAATGCAATTCTGTAAGTAAAAAAATGTACCTCTCTGCTTCCTTGCATGTAAGAAACGACCTATCATCTTCAAAACACGTTCTCCTTGAAGGACCAAGACACCACAAACCACTACTTCTCCAATAGAATCTGGTAAATCTAGGCCAGAAAACTCAAGCCCCTGAATTGTACTACGGTTTGCAAGAAGTATATGCACAGTAACGTACAACCCCACAAAAATAGATGATATAACTGTAAAATTTCCAAAAATCCTGCAAGCCAGTTTCCAATCTGACTCTTGCTCTGTCTGTAAAGAAGCCAATATCTGCTCTTTGCTGGATCCAACATCTTTCAAATCAAGAGGTTTAACAATTTTAGATAGTGCCTCAGCAAACTGAACATAACTGTCTTTCAGGCCTTGCTTTGCACCATTTTCAATCATTCCTTTCATCATAGTACTCTGAAAAAAATTAATGCGCCAGGAAACCACTAAACGAGAAGACTGCTCTTCAGATGGCAATTGAGGGCCTGGCATTATGCAATACAATACTTCACACCTGAAAGAACTTCCAAATGGAACATCCGGAGTGCTCACACTTGCTAAAACAGCATAGTTTTTTCCATCAGCCTTCAGATAAGTCTGTTCCTCTGTTGCTTTCACTGCTTTAACTAATTTAGTTGCAGCTTTCATGTAGGTGACCACTCTTTTAAGGCTCTCCCCACCATTTTCAAATATCCAAGCTTCAATATTTAAATCAGTAGTTCCCTGAATATCTGCTAAAGATTGTAAGAAGTTTGAGTTGGTTGAAAATATAACGGTATTGAGTTCACTGGGGGAGACGGCATAAGACTGATCAAGGATCACACCACCAGCTAAATTTTCTGGCATTTCGCCTCCCTGGTCTTTTGATTCCAAAATTTTCACTGACTCGTCAAATGTGGAGTTCGAAACAGCATCATCTGCTAGTTCATTAACCTCAGGATTTGGTGGTTCCTCTTGGATGACTTCAACAAAATCAATATCTCTACCAGTGGGCCTCGTAATGTCTGCACTCTTCCCAGTAAAAACTTGAAAAATTCGGTCAAAAAATGCTCGAGACTGTGATTTTTCTTCCTTATCTGGATCAGCTTCTTCAGCCTCAGATACAGAATATGAATCTGTTTTACCATTGGAATCAACTGAAAGTCTTTTAAGTTCTGATGATTTATCAGAATTTGATGTTAAATCTTCAGAGAAGGTTTGAGGGGGTGTTCCATCGCTTAATGAATTAATATGAGACAGTGATAATGTAAGATGAATTTCTCCTGCAGAATAAAAAAGCCATTCACATATGAGATCCCATCTTCACTGTGAGCTGACATGCTTAATATATTGTCATAAGTAAATAATTTATAGTTACTTGTAAGTCAGCATACAATCTACAAAATCCTAAACCTAAATAAAGGCTGATTTTAAACTTATCACATGAGATGCTGAACATTCACCCTAAATCAAGTACAAGTACTTTGGTATTTCCAAAGAATATTCATCACTAAAAAATTTTACACCCCTGGTCTCTAGTTATGTCAAATATGAGAAAATAATCACAATGCCAATGCTTCATTCTCATACAAACCTACATGTGTTACTGTTTGTGGGTTCCAGAAGTACTCTGCCTCTAATAATTTCTCCATTTCCTTTTCTTCCCTCCAACTAAAGTGTTCTTTTCTCAGATCTCTAGATAACACTTTATTTTATTACACTTTCCTAATGATTGCAAAGCCGTAAGCTACATTTCAAGATTGTTCCCCAGGCTCAGGCAAGCGTGATTTCATAAGAAAATTACAAAATATCCAAATTAATGCATTTTGCTACAAATAAGATTCAATAAATGTACTGAAATGAAAAAACGGGTATCATAGTTTTGATGGAAACTAATGAAAAACTATACTAGCCTTTAGATTACAGATGAAAAATAAAAGGTGAGCATGGTCAACAAAAGTGAAGCACGAACCATATCCTGTTAGAAGGAATAATGTGAGTTTTTTGCACGAAAGGAAAAATAAAGGTTTTGACAGCAACAACAACCACTGGAAGAAAACCACTTTAAAACGCTCAGCAGAACAACTTATTTAATAATTAGGTCAAAGTACTCTTCGTATTCTTTTTTCCTTTGAAGGAAAGATAATGAAATTTGTATTACCACATTCCTGGTTCTTGGATTTTTTACTCCTGGGTTGCAGTTGATACCAAACAGATCCAAGTGATAGATTATCTGCATCCAAGACCTTAGATAACGGCAATTTAACTTGACCAAGAAAATCATCACTGAAGTACTTGTCCTCATCCAATACTGAAACAATCAATTCTTCCCTTAGGTCTCCAACCCTGAAGCTGAACTCTTCATCCCACAACGGGTTCAAGCTTTTCTTCACAACCTTAGTCTTTGCCCGTTGCTTTCCAAGCTGTAATCTCACGTAAGGATCACTCAGTCCATTAAGATCCATTGCCGGGAGGCCACGAGCTTCGATAACTTGCACGTATAGCCTCATGAGGCAGTTTAATTATCAGTGGCAAAGCAATAAGAGAAACAACGGTTCAAAATCAAAAGATGGCAAGAAAAGCTGAAAGGAAATCAAGCAATGGAGGAATCAAAATGCATAAGTTTTTGTTTGAATCCCCAACTTTAAAAGGAGAACCGGAAGAATAAATTTCCGGATAATGTTGGGTATAAAAAAGGCTTCTTTCTGAAGTCAACAGCCCATCAGAGATAATATTAAAAATCCGATCAAAGCTAACAAGCCCAAGATATTAAAAACAGAATAATCAAATAAATTAAATCAGATAAAAACTAAAGGGATAAGGGCAACCCGTCTCAGCTGAATGACCCCATATTTCCGACGCAAAGAAAGCAGATATGACAACCTAAGAAGGACTCAATAATCGATTCAATCTCAGCAATAATCAAACAAAACAGAAGCAGCAGCAACACAATAAGCCTGGAGCTGGAAACCCATCCCACAAACTGTAAACCCTAAAAACGGACGAAGCGCTCGCCAATTAAGAATACCGTGAGGTCGGGGAAGAAGACTAGAGCATGAACTTTGAAGAAAAAAATGGGAGCAACAACGAGGGTGAGGATATCTCTGCTTTCTCTTGTTTGTCAGGAGTGAAAAACTGAAAAAGTAAAACATTGCAGACGCAATTTATGAGATCGGGGCGGAGACAACGGAGAAGCGGCCGAAGACTTCCCCCTTCTTTCTCTCTCTATCTCTTCTCCGCTCTCGTCTCCCCGCGCAAGGCTCGGAATAATAATTAAATCAAATCTACTCTCCGTATGACCCATTCTACGGTCTTCCTTTATGAGCTCTGCTAATCCAGAAACAGTTCCTTGTATCCGCTATTGAAATGGCACACATTCAACTGAAGGATATAATAAAATAACACTTGGCGACAATATCATTCTTTTAATGTTACTGAACCACTAATTATTTATATGCATTTCACAGCGTATTTCTATTGTAATTTGAATTTCAATTATGTCTGTGATGACCAGCTTGACAAATAACCGATCCAGATGTAATTGTGCCCTTTGGCATACATGTCGACTGATCAAATTGTTTGGCCATGCGATCTCGTCCGTCATGGATTGATCAGTCTGCTGCGGTTGGGCGCTCTTATGTGCGGCCTGGTCGGTTGGGACCACAGTCATAGTCTACCGTTAGAGTCTCTCACCACGGGAGACCAATCGAATTTTCACTGTCGGGACGGTGGTAGGGTGATAGGATGTTCTGTTTGCCTGACCTCCGTTCGGGTCATCTAATGGCTTTGAGATTCGTGCCGGTATTTTTGTTGTGGACATTTGATAAAACTCTAACCCATATTTTCTTTTTTATTAAGTTCTTAATAATTTGATCGCTTTGAAAGTAAAAAGTATTGGTTCAGTAGTTTGAAAATTACTAGGCGGTTAATTTGTAAATACCAATCTTTTGGGTGGTCTATATGTAATTATCTCAATTATCTATATGTGATGTTGAATATTCATACAAGATTAAGAAGTTAATTTTAAGGTCTCTTTCCACGATTACAATAACACACAACATTAACCAACTTCTTCAAATAAATAATTATAATCAATTCTCCTTTAAAAAAAAGACAAGCAAAGGTACATGTTATGCATGAAGATCTCATTAATATGAATCCCAAAAGAGGTTAATATTCCCAGCAAAACTATTTTAATAATTTTAATTCGTTGCATGCTATAGTATTTGTAATAGCAACAAAAGGAATTTAAAGTTATTTCATGTGAAGTAGGGCTGTCAAAAAAGCTCGTTGTTCGCGATGAGTTCGTGTTCGATGAGTAAACGAGATGAACGTGAACAAATTTTTTTCGTTCGGTTAGTTAAACGAATCAAACAAGAACAGTGATGCGTTTTTAATATACTAATATTGATATTATATATTTATCTAATATAAGCTATATAATTAATATAATATATTATTTATATATATTAATATTAGGGATATCAAACTGGCTCGTCATTCGCGAATAGCTCGTGTTTGGCTCGTGTTCGGCTCATTCTTTAAGAAACGAACACGAACAGTGTCAATTTCGAACACGAGCTTATTTCAAACAAACTAAATTTCAAACGAACCGAACACAAACACAAACTCTATTCGTATGTGTTCGGTTCGTCTACACCCCTAATGTGAAGATCCACAACACATAGTTACAGTCAGGTTGACTGAGAAGTCAGGTTGACTGAGATATTTAATTTTTTACAGAAAATATTCGGCTCATTCTTTAAGAAACGAACACGAACAGTGTCAATTTCGAACACGAGCTTATTTCAAACAAACTAAATTTCAAACGAACCTAACACGAACACAAACTCTATTCGTTTGTGTTCGGTTCGTCTACACCCCTAATGCGAAGATCCAAAACACATAGTTAAAGTCACGTTGACTGAGATATTTAATTTTTTACAGAAAAAGAAATTCAGAAATGAGAAAATTATGAGGCTTAACTTAGTTGGAAAGTTCCAATATTAAAGAAATAAGATTATAAAATTATGATTTTTTCCTTAAGTAAGAGTATACATAATTATGATTTTGGTGGAGAATTATATTAAATAAATAGTGAAGGATAATAATAAATTGTTGTTAATGATCAAGTGATATTAGTTAAGTGCCGATGGTCAGATAATGATAATTAAACTATGATTCTGATATGATAATGATTCTAGTGATCATGATCAGACAATCACAATTGAGCGACGGTGATCGTCTTCTGGCAACAATCGTGCGATTAGAAACGAGCAATAGTCGCTGGGCGGCAGCAATAAGTTAACGCTATTATTGGAGAGTCTATTTAGGTTTCAAGAATAGCAATTAAATAAATTTAACCAAAGTATAGATTTTTACTAAAAGGATACTGCAGAGGCAGAAGTTAATGAAATAATGGAGTGGTAGATTGATAATTTTAAATGTTAAATATGTGAAAAGAATAATTTTTAGTTTTATATATGTAAATAATCCTTTTCATAGATAAATATTTATCCTGCAAACCCAACCCTAAACATCACAATCAAAGAAAAAACATAGAAGGAACAGAGAGAAATTAAATTTCTCGTAGTTGCATGAAGTTACATCAATGATTCTCTTAATTGTCGAATGCTGACATGTGCTTCTTGTAACCACCAATAAATGATGACCGAGTTCTTAGTTGTCACGGATAACAGGAGGAAATTTTCTTTGCAACGATAAGAGTTTTATGCTTAATAAAAGAAACTTATAAAAACAAGCACATAAATTAAGAGTTGCAAATGGTCCTTGGAATTTTGGCGATACGCTGTCAAAAAAAGCTCATCGTTACAAACAACTCATGAGCTTCTTAAATAGCTCGTGTTTGATTCGTCCGTTAAGTAAGTGAGTCAAATATGAATAATTTTTTTAGCTCGATTTATAAACCAGCCGAAGTCGAACAAATATTGAAAAAAAGCTCATCGTTACAAACAACTCATGAGCTTGTTAAATAGCTCGTGTTTGATTCGTCCGTTAAGCGAGTGAGTCAAACATGAATAATTTTCTTAGCTTGATTTATAAACAAGCCGAAGTCGAACAAATATTATTCGTTCATGTTCTGCTCATAATAAAATAATAATATTTTTCATAATTATTTTTTATTTTTATATCACACAAATATCTTTTTTAAATAATAAAATTAAGCATGTTTTAAATACAAAGTATACTGCTTTTTCTTTGGAAGTCACAATTAGTAATGCCTGTAATTCTGCATGAGAATGAAGCATTGACATTGTGATCATTTTTTTATCATATTTAACATAATTAGGATCAAGGGTGCAAATTTATTTAGTGATCAATTTTCTTAGAACCAGTCTCTATTCACTTGAAATTGTTATATGGTGAATGGTCAGCATCTCATGCGATAAGTTTAAAGTAAGCCATTATTTAGGTTTAGGATTTGTAGATTGTATGCTAACATACAAGTTACAAGTAAATTATTTACTTGTTACACTATATTATGTGTGCTAGCTCCAAGTGAAGATGGGATCTAACATGTGAATGGCTTTGTTGAGCCTCACAGGAGAAATTCATATTTTATTATCACTGTCTCGTATCATTTTTTTTAAGTGATGAAACACCCCATCGAACATTGTCAGAAGATTTAACATCAAATACCACCACAATATCACCAAATACCACCAATCCGCATGTCACGTAATATCTGCTCCATTTTTAAACCGAATGATGCAAGTTTTTACTAGGAAGTGTGTAAAGATTACAAGGCCCATCAGTAGAGATGTTGATTTTGTTGAAGTCAGCTAAGAGGAATCGTAAAAAATCTGAGGTTAATGAACTAGCAGAAGATGTTGCTTCCAACTCCACTTTTGATGAATCATTGAATATTTTGAAATCAAAAGACCAGTGCGGTGAAATGAGAGAAAATTTAGCTGGTGGAGTGATTCTTAATCAGTTTTTTGTCATCTCCCCCAGCGAACTCAATGTCGTTATATTTTCAACAAACTCAGACTCCGTTAGAAGGTGAAGAAGCTCATTTAAACATGATGTTTGTGGAACTGAGTAAGGCATATGTAATTTTAAACAGTGAAATAATTTAGTTTTGTACAAAATAGCTTTGGTTGACGCTCGAGAAACATTCTTCAACAAACAACGTGTGATGCATTCGCCTGATGAAAGGCTCGACCTTCTTGGATTTTTTTTGAGAAATAGAGGTTCCATTTGTTATGGGCAACACAAAAGATATCTCATCATTCTCATGCTAAATGCCTAACAAATATTTTTTTGAATATCTTAAATGAGGAAACATAGTAATACAAATATAAAGGCCATTAGTATTCTAAGTACAAGCTCTTCTATATATGTTTCTAAAATTGAAGCTCACGCGTAATATTTATATTGCATAGCATAAAAATATAATCAACTTATAAAATAATTTTCCTCATCCTATATTGCTTAACGAATAAATCTTCCAATAAAAAAAAATATGCAGTGAGTTGTTGAGCAGCACCACAAATAACTCAATGATAAATATAAGAGTGGTACTTATTTAATTATTTAACTAAAAATCAAAGATAGATACAATAACATACTTGCATGCTTTATTTCTTTAGAAGAAATGGTTAATAATGTTGCAATATTTCTTATTTATAATTATTGTGTGTTCGAGATTAGTGGCGTCAAAGTGATATTTTTAGCATTGGATGAATAACAGTTGCACACATGAACAATAAAAAAGTAGAGGGAGGAGACACCGAGATTGGCTAACCCCAATCAAAGTAATTCACTACATGATTGTAAATGCATGGGTCCAAACTTCTCTTGAATTGGAAAAGATGGAGTTATAATACCGATAATTACATTTGTATAATAGTAGTTTAGATATAATAGCCATAATTGAGCTACATCAAATGTGACTCTTGGATGTAATAACAATAGTTAACCACATGGGTTAATAACCAGTTGCTATGAAGGTAATAGTTACCCGTAAGGCTGTAGTCGTTAGTTGTAATAGTGACAGTTGGCCACAAAGGTCATAGCGAGAAGTTATACTAGTAACTAGTTATAGAGAATGTAGTTGGTGCTATATTAGTTGGTGTCTCTTGGGCTTACTATTTTATACTAGAGACAATACTTATCAGTATACAACATAATTGAACTACAACAAACTTGACTCTTTGTTGTAATAGCAATAGTTATCCACAAATGTTATAATTGGTTGCTATAAAGATAGTAGTTGCCCGTAAAAGTTGTACTGAGAAGTTATAGTGGTTCCTAGTCATAGAGAACGTAGTTGGTGCTACAACAGTTTTTGTTTCTCGGGCTTACTATTTTATACTAGAGACAACACTTATCGGTATACGACATATAAAAAAAAATTATGAATTTTGGAAATTTTGTCAGCTTTTAATACAACTATCATAAGAAGTTGTCATTGGGAATTATTGTCAAATTGATGTTATTCATTTATACTATATTCAAGATATATTATTATGTTGTAATTGAGATACATCATTCTATCATATTTAGAATACATCATTACTTCACTAGACATCTTCATGTATCTCTTATTTTGGATTCTCTAACACAAGAATAACATTGTTACATTATAACCCATTTTTCTACTTGACAACCACTCCTATGAAGTGATTATATTGTTGGAGTTCTTCAAGGATATAATATTTTGAAATATCTTATTTAAGAAACATTAATATTATCACTAATTTCCCTACTTGACAGCACACTCTTATCTAGTGACTATTTTGTTGAAGTTTTTCAAAAATTTAATATAAAAATGATTATTTGATAAATGCATCAATACCACAAATATAAAAAAATAAAAAATATTTTTTGAAAATGTTTTGAATAAGGCTCAAAGTTTGATTATCTATCCATCAAATGTGATGTGGTATAATTGTTGGCTTATGCCAGATTGTCTTGGCACTTTATCCATTATATCATAATTGCTATGATAACTCTTAGTGGTAGCTTTTAGATTAAAATTCTCTGTATCTATCTTATAATATATTATATTAAAACAATTGTGATTGTATTATCCTCTATCACTCGTCATGTGCTACAATAAAAAAATTTGAATGCATTTTATTGTATATATTTTTTGTTCTTTTAGGATGTAGGGTCCCACATTGTTTGTGAGTGCATACATCTCGATAAAGATCTTGTTTTTAAGGAATGCAGACAAAAGAGATAATAAATGTGATGACTGAGATATTATCTCTGGTTTGATCAATGTAGCTTGAACTTCAGCAAACCCAAATAAATGGCTAAAAGGAGATCTATTGGGCTATGATGTTTCTTCTAGAGGGGGAGAGAGGGAGAGAGAGAGAGAGAGATTCTTGAGAAGTTTTAAAGATAAAAAATATACTTCTTTCTTACTCCCTTGGTTATATTTTTGTTTATAAATTTATATAAAAAATATTAGAGAGATTCTTGAGAAGTTTTAAAGATAAAAAATATGCTTTTTTCTTACTCCCTTGGTTATATTTATGTTTATAAATTTATATAAAAAATATTATTTATTTTTTTTTAAATTAAAATATACTTTTTATTTATAAATTTATGACATCAAAATGTATTAATATAATTATTAAATTTTAAGTATCAGTACATAAATTTTTTAAAAAATAGAGAAAATAAAAAGGAGAAAAAAGAATGTTTTAAGGAGGAGGACCCTCTTCTCATCCGATCGGTCCCTTTCCAAGGTAATTAATTTTTGTTCGGTTTCCCTTCCGCCTCCTATATGTTGATTAAGTTTTTGAACTTCGAGCTTTTAATCCTCTGCAGATCGAAGCTTTTCTCATCGATGTTCTGGAGATTTTCCTTTGGTTTGTTACTCTAAGGGTTGCTGGTCCTTGTTCCAATAGAAAAAATTAAACCGTGAGTTTTTTTAGTTTACTTTGTTTGATTGCTGTTGGATATTTTTTTGACGTTTATATGGCGAGCCTTGGCGATCCCATTGATGATTTAGCTGCTGGTCAATGTTAGGATTTCCTTTAAATTTGTGTAATTTATTATTATTATCATTTATCTTGACTTTTTCCCGCTTCTCTGGTTCTCGGTAAGATAAAAATGTTGGGAATCAAATGAAATATGCGTTATGGATCATTTGATTGTTCTATCCATTCAGATAGGAGTTTAGTTTGATAAGAGAAGTTATTTTGATTAGCTCATGGAGTGGAAAAGAGGGAGTTTAAAATTACAGGTGAAACATTTTTTGCTGTTTGCGTGCTAGCTGACAACAATTAATGATAAAAATCAGATAAGGGCATGCATATAGATCAAATTTCCATTAATTATATATGCGAATCAGGTAGCAAGAAAAGACAGGAGAATGAAGCTGAAATTATGTGCCCTTGGTTTTATTAGATGGGAGAAACAGAGCATGTTATGCATTTATTTCCTTGTCTTCTTTTTGAATTAAAGGAAGATTTACCCAGGAAGTTATTTCATTTATTTTAGTTAAATCAATCAGACGTGTTTATTTCACAAATATTTCTAATTGTTAAATTGGAATGTTGTCATCCGAGCTAAAACAAAATGTGCTATTTTATTTAAAGTTTTCTTCTCTTTTTGAATGGATTTTGCATTACAAATAAGATGGGGTTTTTATTTGATAAACGATTCTGTACCTTCCAAGTTACCCGAACAAGTCTTTGACAATGTACCCCATGCTCGGCTGGTTGTGTTAATCAAATTATCCTATGATCTTGATCCAGATTCAACAAATTGCTTGACTTAAAAAAGCTCAGTATGTGTGAAGGTTGAAATTATCCAAAGCTATATGTCTCCTAAAGTGACATCTCGTCAAGCTATTTAGAGGAAATTCTACTCTTCTCCAAGATTCAACAACCGAAGTCACCAATTCATCTAAACTTTTCTCATAAATATTTCAAGAATTTATTCACAATTACTTACTTATCAATTAGGATTTCTTGCCGGAACTCGCTTAGAATTATCACCAATAAGGTCTCGTAACTTCTACGCAAGTCAAACAAATGGAAGATTGCTTGACAAGGATGATCTAGGAGATCCTTGAGTGATACCCATGAGCTAATCCTCACATCGAGCCTCCATAAGATCATTGATTTACTAGCTCTTTTATTTGTTGTCGTCAACATAGCCTTAGAGCCATTGCATCTACTCTAGTTAGTGATTTAGTGATGAAACATAGCTCCTTAAAAAGAGTGCTTTTGGAATACCTCTTCCTCATGGGCCCATGGAGCATTGATCTTAGCTTATGGGTGCATTTTTTTGGGTAGAAATCTCTTAGGCTCAGATTCTTCTCAAATTGAAAGTACACTATCTTATTGTGGAGGAAATCAACTCATATTGATCATATTGCTTGTTTTGAGTTGGCCATTTTCTTCATGGCATTATTTTGCCCAGTGTTGCTTACTTTTAACCTTAAGGAGGCTCCACCATGAAGGTCTTCACGACATCCTCTAGGGAGTATTTATTCATACTTAGACCTATAGTGACTATTCATAACTAAATTTGCTAACGTCAACTGATAATTGAAGAATTCACAGACTCTCTAGATTATGAGGCAATATTTAAAATTACTTCAGAATTCTGTAGTTCCTTTTAAATGTTAAGTATTTGATATATGGGATTTGGAGGCAACTATAGCCCAAGCTACTTGCACGTTTGATACCGGAGCTCACTTAAACCACAATAGGAAAAACAAATATTATTACTAAAACTCAAATATGAACTTACAAATAATTAATTGGAACAGGAAATAACAACAATCACGACACCAGAAATCGAAAATAGACAACACAAACACTCAATGAGGGTGGATCCCGGGATGGTGGTAGTGGTTGGTGAAGGTTTGAAAGGTGGCAAAGGGGAGGATAAGATGGTTGGCAAGCAAAATACAACAAGACAACGATTTTTTCGGGGCCGAACAACAAGTAGACAACCGGGGGACGATGCGTTTCTGGGTTGATGACATCAAGGGGAAGGGTGGAAGCGGCGATGGCTGTGACGAGGATGTGGTTGGAAGCTGGTTAGCGCCTGGTCAGCTGGTGGGGAAGGCTGTGAGGAATGTTGGTAAGGGCGGTAGTCGATTTGGCAGTATCACTATTGATATGAGAAGTTGAAAAACTTATTCATATTGAAACAATTGTAGGAATTCAACTCTGTTGATCTTGAGTATCATCTTGAGACGACGTTAATAGAGGTGCAATAAAATGAGCCTGCCCCAAATTCCTGATTTATATTGTGGGGATTCATATCAGTTATTCTCATAGGAGCTGGTGTTGAAGCATCTAGGGAAGTTAGCCTAAAGCGAATTTAATTGGGAAGGGGTACATGATACCTCAACTTCTTTAGGGTCATAGTGCCAATCATAAATTATTATATTGGCAACCTCTTCTTTGACATGAGAGGTTCCCTAAATATTATCTTTAACATGTCTTTGACCAACAAGATCTTGATATTTTTAAGTTGGTGCCTTTTGTTGAGAACCTTTATGTTGTTAGGGTGAACATAGAAAAAATAAAGCTATGATTACATTGTCAATCATTTTTGGGAAATGAGATCAACAATTCAATGCAATAATTGACTTCTTAATGGTTGATGCCCCCAATGATCTGCAATGCCATATTTGATCGTTTACTTTTCAATGTTTTCAAAGTAAGTACCTTCAACCTGTCATATAACAATTGTATTTCTTATAGGAGTGCACAATATCGTTTTATGTAGAAATTTGTTTCAGTTTTAAGGATATTGCTTGGAAGTGGTTGGGAGCATGTATTATAGAGGACATTTACTCTCGCTCTCTTAAGCAATCAAAGAATTCATCATCATTGAAGACGATCTAACTCGCACTCCCTAGGTTACCACATCTTTCGATCCATAATACAAGAAAGAACACCCAAAATTCTCCAAAAAAAAGGTTTTTTAATGTTCTATTTCAGGGATTTTGGGAGTTGACATAAATGTGCATGTCATCCCCCTCGATGTCGACAAGTTGAAGATGATTAAGCGAAAAAATTCACCAAACTGTCGTGGCTTTGGTCTACTGCAAAGTCCACAAGCTATTATAGTTTAGCTTTGTTGTATGATTATGGTACCTAGATCACATTTCTAACTTCATAAGAAAAAAATCAAATGGGAATTGAAGAATTGGCTAAACTTGGTTTTGCCCAAATGATATGCATCCTGTGACTGCTAGAAGATGCCTTTAACATTATTATAAATTGTACATTTGAAATGTCATGTTATTCAACCTTAAAAAAATTACGATGACTTGCTATCAATGATGGAATACATTTTCAAAGATAAAAAAGGTTAACATATTGAAGTATCTATTGATGATTTACTTATCAGAAGTGAAACTTCATCACAAAACATCTTACATCTTCTGGTGATGTTTGCAACTCCCAAGAAATATGATAACATCACAATTCTCTAAAGTGTATTTTTGGAATTAGTTCGAAAACTTTTTTGGGCATCTCACTTCTAAAGGCTAAAAAAGCCCAAACAAAGTTAGAGTGTTTATGAAGATGTTCCCTCCCTCCAAATGCAACTGCTTTTTAACTTTTCCAAGTAAGCTAATTCTCTTCAAGATTTGAGAATTTAAGCCTTTTTTTTGTGATAGAAAATAGTCATAAGACAAGTTGCAAAACACTGCGCAAGTGATTTCCGTGAGAAGAAACTTTGCCTTGGGTATCTAAATTTTCATAGAGTAGATGACAATTCTACAGTTGGTCCTCAAGTTGGCTTTACATCATCAAAGTGCAATTTGGTTCTAGCGCATGCCAACAACAAGCTCACATTGGCAAAGATTTAACAAAGAGTGCAGTGAAGTTGAAGTGAAAAGATTATAGGAAATTGTATGTTTGGAAGATTTTGAGGTATTTAAATTGAAGTAGAGACTAGAGAAAATTTACTCTTGAACATCGAGATTTATTCTCTTACTGTTATTTTCCTAAAAAAATCAGTGATTATGTGAATTATGAAATTTGAAGGAATTAAAATTACTAACAAATGAACTTGTGATGCTTATCCTAAAAATCTCAAGGAACTCGTCTTCGGTAATTCAAAATTTTTTGAGCAAGGTTTGATCTTAAAATCAACATTTCATTATTCTATTGGTAGCTGACCAACCTTCCAAGGTGGAAATTCAAATGTTAGACATAGATCAAAATAATAATAAAAAATGAATTTTCCCTAGATCTCAACTTAGAGCATGAGTTTCATTAAGACACAACATATGAACTTAAGGGAGTTAATATTAAATTTTTGAAGTGCTCAATTTATATCTGATTGACATTATATTTTATAGATTATCAACAATTCATTTGACTTTTCATGAGGCAACATTTCTTATTTCATTAATTAGAAGTTATATTGTTTTTTGCCATTTAAAAATTTATATTTCTTTCAAACCACATAGTCAAGGGGTACATCAAATTCTTAATATCTAATACACTAAAAACTAATGTCTTAGAACTTGAACCCTTTTTTGTGACAATATCTGCAATCAGATAGGGTGATATATCTGTTATGGGTGTTGAGTCTTAGAGATGGTCATCCCTCTAAAAATATGCTCAGTATCAGGTGAGGCCCATCTGAGGCGTCAATTTGTTCAATAAAGATGCATAAAGGATAAATGATTGAGCAAGACTTGGAGCAACATTCAAATATATACTACATATGTTCAAATTTTAAATAGAAATGATTCTAATATTTAGCTTTATAAAATAACATAGTTTGAGGATTTCATATTTAGAGGTTTAGGATTTATATATGGGTCCACTAAAGTAGGATTTTCTTAGAGAAATAATTTAAATGTCGCAAAAGCAGAAGACCAACTCGGTCATTTTTTATCTTAATTAGTATATCTATTTTGATATTCTTCATTTTTA